GCTAGGCAGGCTATAAACAGCAAATGCTACAATAAACAGATGTTTAGGTCTGCATTCACTGATGGGAAGCAGCAATGCACTCTTGGGTTAAACATGGGGTTGAAAATACTGTCTTTCTCCCACTCTTTGGTCTTTCACGCACACTCAAACACACATAACAAAAACACAAGCAGCCAGGCCTTCGACACCCGACTGGGGTCACATGTTCCTCAGAGTTATTTCTGTCTTAGGGACAAAGAGGTTATACCTCTTACTGAAAGGAAAGACAGGGAGTGTGTGTTAGAGGAGTTGTTTGGGGAGTGTGTGTGTGTGTGTGGTGTATGTGTATGGAGTGTTTGGGCAGGATAATTAAGACCTTGTGCTTTGGCTCCCTGGAGTTTTTAAACCACAGGGGCTGAGCCATAATAGAATCTACACGTCAAACGGACACTAGACTGAGACACACACGACATGCACACGCAACACGCACGACGCACGCAACACAACAGCACACACACACAACACACACCACACACCAGGAACCGATATGAGCAGTTACAGATAGTTTGGAAAACAAACACGCACACATTGTGTAAATGTTTAACTAGAGAGAGGAGTGGGGGGCAGGGAGTAGAGAGAGTTGGATTAAATGAGGACAAAGGAGAGCCAGCCAGTGAGAGCGAGGAAGACTACTGACAAACAAATAATTACTCGTCATAAGTTGGTGATTACACAACACTGTACGTTCTCCCACAAATAATCAATCACTTCTATATGGCTTTGTTGGTGTAAAAGTATTTGAAATAAGCGTTTTGCTAATTTCTCAGGCAATAAAATGAACTGAGCCGAGAGAAAATGTCTATGTGTTTGTGTGAGTGTTTGTTTTTAGATGATGTGAGTCATTTTAAAGTCTGTACAGGCAGGAGTAAGACAGCTCTACTGTGGGTTGGAACACCCGCAAGCAGTATAAGATAAGTCTTAATACAATGGGAGTGTCATTAATTTGAAGGTAATTGGTCAGAAACCCACCAAAGTATTTGATAATTATGGTTTTGAACAGATGGTGGCACTGGATTGGAAGTTAAAGGATGACCAAAGTTATGACAATTCATCTTGAGAGGAGCAGAATGTCTGAAGATATTTTCATGGCAATCCAATCAGTAGCTATTGAGACATTTCACTCAAAACCTTAATGTTAACGCATGGTGGCACTAGAGGAGAAGTCAAAGGATCACAAAGTGTCATTGCTAGTGACCATGAATGTCTTTTGATGGCAATCCATGATCATTCAAAAATGTATTTGAAATAAAACATATGTGACAGAAAAAAATTACCCTTTGATTGAAATGGTTACAACTGGCAAATGCAAAGCAGGGGTCACAATAGGATGGGAATCACTGCTCTAGGTTTCAGTCAGAGGTATTCAGGGGGCAGCCACATCAGGTGCCTGAATCAACTCAAATTCACCCCTGGTCCCAGCAATAGATATAGCTGGATTTACCCATCCTGCTGGTCCTTGATGGTGTGAAGTTCATTGCATTGTCGAGAACTTCTGGAAATTTCCTTAGCTCCAAAACTTCCTCAAGATTCTTAGAATCCTCAGATTTTCAGGAGAGTAGGAGATGTAAAGCATCATGTAGACTCACCGCTGCCGAATTGTCGCGCGACAACGTGACGTCACACGGAGCGCCGTAACATATTTATAACTTGCGCTGGGTGGTCGCGCACACTAGTTGCAGTATTCTCCTGAACAGAGGTGGCGCAACTGAAGCAAAGGCTACCGACTTTGCTATTTCTAGCACTAGAAGAAGAAGAAAAAGCGTAAACAAATGGCGACCTCTTTTTTGATTTTCCAAATCGGTCGCGGGAGGTTCTCAAATTTTTCCGGCCATAGGCCTCCTCTTTTCCAACATCATTGGCGATTCTAGCCATGAATGTGGAATCTCTGTGTCCTGCAATTGAATGATCGTACAGATGCTATAGAAGGCGCACTGCTCGGAAAGCTTCCTGTTTCCGGTTGGCACGCTCAGCTGAAAAAAAAAGAGTGACAGACGTAGCTGCGACCCTCGCCCGCGGGCCAAAATCCTGCCGCGCCAGCGAGATCTACGTCATTTTGACGTCACAGTGTCACGTGACAGGTCTCAAACGGCGAGCATACTGGGGCCTTAATCCCTCCAGTCTGTCTGGGTTTCATCCAGGCTTCTGGTAGGGTCATTCTTCAAGGCAAACTTTTCTCAGATGAGAGGCCAGACAATGACTCACAAAGACAATAAATAGAGACAGTATGACTCGCACCTGGAGCCAGGCCTGGGAGTGCTGGTCTTGGCTCAATGCTTGGTGGCGGGGTGACCCTTGTAGTTGAGCCATGCATGCTTTGAGAAGAGACATACGACCATTAAATTGGGGGTTCACCACTTCAAGCAGGCGTCAAATCAACTCCCTGTCCTTATTTAGTTAGCCATATGTTCATTTTGTGCAGTCATGGTTATATTGGGATTAAGACTGCTCAGATATTAGTTTATCAATCATCTGCACATTTGTCGCGGGAAAAACTGCAGTGAACAAAATGTCCTGGATTATGTCCATTTCTTTCTTCTTATACTGATTGTCTGATCTGAAATTTGAAAAACCGGAAAAACATTCCTACTGTGGTTATGAAATCATGCGCAACCATGCATGTGCACTCGTCCACAACAACGCCAACACCTGGCAAGAGAACAGGGAACAAGCCTCCATGTTCCTCTTTTCTCTGCCTTCTCAATGTTCTACAGCATGAACAAACACACATTCACACACTTTCTGAATAACTCCGTACCCAAGTTCACAGAGGGTTTGCCACTAAGACACATACAAACACACTTCTCTTCTTCTCTTTCTGGTAGTGTGACTAGGTATTTAGTCACAGCCTCAACTTATCACGTTATTACATTTTTCTCCAACCTCCCTCTGCTTTCCTCACAGCTGTGAGGGCCAAACCAGCCCTGCCTTGCATGATTCTTGGCACATACCTTATCCCAGCTCGTGGGATTTTTACTACTTCTATACCTAACTCTGTGAAATATTCAAGGAGCATGTTGACAGTAAATTTGATCATTCCTTATGGGGTTTAATGGCTTTTTGGTCATTAATGCATGTGTATTTGGGGGGGAAATGCTAAAGCAAGAGGGCTGAAAGGGAAAACTGTCTTCCTGTTTGATGCTCATTAGCACCCAGTGGGTTAAACACACGTTTACGACTAATCTGGCTGCTCGGCTGGAGAGCTGCAGCTTTATCGCTGTTAAGCTTTTGACGCTGAGGGAGCATTTTAAGCTCTTCGCTGGGATACAACAGTCCTGTCATGCCTGTTCTTGACATTTACTTTTTATTCTGTTTCTCTGATGAGATTAAAGTGAATTTCTAACCAGCTCTCATTTTTTCCCTCTTCCTCTCTGGCTTCCCAAAGCTGCAGTGAACTCTTTGATAGTGGAGTAAATAAAACTGTTATGATGCAACATGCAGAAATGTTGCCAAGGAATCAGAAGCCAAGTGAAAATGGACTCTTATTGCAACTTTATAACACACCATTCAGAAGACTTATATTCCCTGTAACAATGTGATTATCAATTCAGTAAGGCAATAGACTACTGCAACTGTCATTTCATACTATAATCAGAGCTGATTAACCGAGTTTGGTTACTCACTCATCTTTCAAAATACTCTTGTCACATATCCTCTTAAATCAAACACAGTTTATTAAAATCATGCCATGTTTACGTCTATTTGATGACTTGCAGTCTTCTTCCCTGCATTTGCTGGCACATTATCACACTTCTTTGCAGGGTATGTCCACCAGCTGTCGATAAGCAGAAAATGCAGCAGAAATGTGTATCATATATCATATACAAACTCATATAAACATTTCTCTATAGCACTACTAGTGGTCAAAAACCCCACAGGGAACCTTTAAGTATGAGTCTTTACAGTGTCTCCATCTTTAAACTGACTCTGGAAATAATTTGCCGTGTAACTAATTCAACACAGTTTTCCAATTATTTTCAACTATAACACCACATAACAATAATACTATTGGTATACAATTACCTCTAATATTCACAAGCTAAATAACTTCCTGTTCTCATTTGTCTAAGAAGAGTCAGCATTCACAACACCTCTATTTACATCAGTACTTCAGTCAGCCTGCCAAGAAATAATCAGCTAAACTGTTGTTACTGAGGCAGAGCAAATAAGCTCCCCTTTTATAATGTGAGCAGTCAATGAGCCTCTTTGGGTCTCACCACATTTAAACACCCTTAGTTGTACCACTAAGTTTTGTTTTTGTTTCTCTCCCACTGCTGGAAACTGGCTGAGAGCTGTGCAGAGAAGAATGGAGCTTCTTTCTTCCCTCTGCGCTCAACAAGTCCATCTCCTGCTTCTCCACTGTTGATGTTTTTTTGAATCATATGGCTTTTCTTGTTTTTTGGTTTGGGGGGTTTTAACTGCAGTGGTTACTGTGGCACTTGGATTTTCTGCAGCTTCAGGCTGTCTGCTTAGTTATTTTCTGATCAAAAGTAATTTCGTTTTTCTCACCCCGAGCGCAGTGGAAATAACCAGCTGGTCACAGGCTCCCTCAGATCCCCCACGGCGGCATTTTAGGGGCATTTTTGTCCTGAGACCCCTCTCCCTCTTATTTTCTTACCCTACTGAGCTTATTGCTCATGTTCAACAGCATCCTGCTTCACATTCACACAGTTAAACAGACACTGTTTTGACTTGATCTGGGGGTTGGTTTTCTGTATTGCAGTTGCTTGTGGCCAACAATGATATTAGTGAAACACGCTGGATGGGGACATAAAACACATTACACAATTATGCAATCTAAATGACACAACAAACCTTAAACAAACCTTAAAAAACATTAACTAACTACTCAGCCAATCAACTGCTCTGTTGATCGTTCAACCCTTTGCTCAAGAGGTTCACAAATGTGGTTGATGATAAAAACAAAAAAAAACCCAGTAAAAACAGTGTCTGTGATCACTGACCCTTAAGAGCAGACTGTTGTAGTCATCTCCAATCCGCCGGAGCTCTTGTCCGATTGCCTCCGCCTGCATGTCCCCTGCTGCGTTTCTTGGCCTCGTGCTAGAGGGACTGGGAAAGTGTCCTGAAACAGAGAAGAAAAAATATGCCAAATGTGCTAATACGGTATGGTTTTGCAAGGATTAAGAGGTTTAAAGCATCTCCACTGAGAATAAATGCATGTTGAAGCAATCGTACTTTGACGATGCTTCATTTATGTGAAGCACAAAATGTCGAACAGGACTTTTTGTGCTTTACGCTTTATGTGCGGTTGGGGGTTTAGGCATGAAAACATTGTGGAACTTCAGCACCGAGATATTTGAAATATGATGAGAAAAATGAACAGAAACCAGAGAAGGACTGGATTCTGTATGTATTTACTGAACAATATATAGTGTTCCAAGTTGGTGGCCCATTCATTGGAACATATGCCCACTCAGTACACACATAAAAATTGTTTGAGATTAAGTCCTCTTGGGCCATACGGCATCACCACACAGCCTAATTAAGTTCCTGTGAGCTTAACTGATGCATAGTTTGATTTGTCGAACAATGATGACAGAAAAGCAGAAAACAGTTACATGCAAACCTACACATTGGATTTCTTTTTTCACACGTGATGTGCATGTCCAGCTTTTCCACCTAACACATGAATACAGCATGTATACAGTTACAACATTCTGGGGGAATTGAAATAAACAGTCAAAACAAAAATCAACCAGACAAGCAAGAGTGTGATTCAGAGAGTGGGTGGTTCACAGCATCAGAGACTTTTTTGACCCAGTTGAGTTTATTTGATGTTATAAAAGACACATGCTCACAATGCTATGCTAAAAACCACACAAGAGATGGAAAGCAGAGTATTTATGCAGGTGAGATTACAAAAACAACAAAAGACACTCAAAGGCATCCGCATAGTTTTATGGTATTCAATTCGTAGTTTGGCTAAATGAGAGCACAGATTGAATTTCCATGTGAAACAGTCCCAGTAATCTGTGTGTCTCACTAGCACCATAATGCCTCTCAACCAGCTGACCGGGTGAGCGGTCGCGTGTGTATGCATATGTGTGTTTTCGTGGTTAATCTGATATATTTTCGGTCTGTAGTACAGTATGACTATGAAAGGCTCTGACCTCTTACCGATCTTCACTTATGACTCATGAACGCTGATATGAAACCCAGACTTAATATTTCTCACATCCTCCAATATTGAAGAGACCAAACATCGCCGACTACACCAAAAACATCCACAAGAGGGTTTATGATGGGAAATATTGGAACGACAGCAGCATAACCCGCGACTATACAAAGCGCTGTATGCTATGTTAAAGCTTTGGAAAGGGTTTTTTGTATTGCTTTTCCCAGAAAATAAAAGGCAACTGTCCAATTACTGCCCGGGTTCAGATATTGGTATGTAAAGATGGTTGGTGCTGATTATGCTGTCAGGTCACAGCGATGGCATTTGAAACATCTCATGGATATGGATGCAGTGCCTCATTTCCCCAAAAATGAGCTCTGAACTGATATTCAGCATCCTCCCAACTGGTACGAACACAAGAAGATATTAAATTAAATGAGTCATGCTCGTTGTGGTCACCTGTTGTGTAAGTTTAGGGGTTAGTTTTCAATGTAGCCTGTTTCTGTTTCTGACACTGTTTCTTATTGCTGATATTAACACTGATACTATCTGCCAGGCTGCTTTGAAGGAAGGTAGACACCATATTTCTTTCATTTTCATTGTTTCAGTTAAGGACATCCATTGTACCAAGATATTATAACAGGAAATTTTGTAAAAAGAATCACTGATTAATTTGCAGCCTTTCATTGTGCACAATTAAAAGCTTTGTTCTTTTCTTTTTTGTTGTCTTTAATCGATAGTGACAGCTGAAGAATGACAGGAAAGGGGAGAGAGAGAGGAGATGCCACGCAGCAAAGGGCCACAGGTCGAAACCGAAAGCCTTCGTTTGCATGACTCAACCCCCGGCACGCGGGGTGCCTGCTCCACCAGGTAAGTCACCCGGGCGCCCCACATGGCTCACAATTTATGGTTTGCACATGCAGAGAAAACAGTCGCATCTTGGATCACTTTTTCTTGTAACAGTTGACTTGTTCCAGAAGACACAAATCTTCAGATGAAAAAACTCTTGATTTAATTTTAATTAATTTTAATTTGTATTTAAGGATTTACTCCTACTGAAGACAGTCAATTATTAGTTCATTTGTTAGATTGAAGCCTCGGGCAATATCTATCTTTGTGCAACCAGCCCCGAGGTTGTGTTATAACTCGACTACAAATCAAACGAAGACTCTGGCTAAGACTGAGGAAACATGACTGTAGGTATCTTCTTGCTGCAAGAGGAGGAAGTGTTGATAGGATAGCTGTAATCACGCTGTCAGGGAGCGACAACAACAAGATGATAAACTGATCCTCCTTAAGCTCCACTGCTCTATCTCATTCTCATACACTTCATCAGGCCAGCCTTCCTGATAACTGAGACCTTTCTTGTGTTGAGGACAACGTATGATATTTCGTATGAGTGTGTGTGTATGTGTGTGTGTTTATCTCCTACCTGTCCTATCTGATGAACATAGCCGACTGAATGAGAGGCGAAAGGTTTCTGTCTGCACATTACAAAAGACCTGCAGGCCTATTTTGACTGCTGCACACACACACACACACACGCAGTGGACTATTTTGATTGGCATACTTAATGAATGACACACACACATACGCTGATCTGTTTTGACTGGTATCTTGTTTGTCTGGCTGCAGTGAAAAAGAATAAAAGAGGCACAAGGCAATCAGTGAAGGTAATCACTGCTATTATAGAGTCATACATAAAGAGGTTACAATGTGCAAAACACCACTATCCTTGTAAGAAGAATTCAAGTCCAGATGGATATGGATGTGGTTCAAGCTGGGGTTTTAACAGAGGGGGGTGTTGGATTTAAATTGTGTAATTTTCACACTGTTTTAACATGCAGTTCTGTGTAATACTTTATCATGACTGCTCAATCTGGATCAGGATGAGAGAACACTGTCATTACATAGTAGATATACTGGCATCCAATGCACCAACCCTGTAAGGATATTTGCTCTGTCAATTGTTTGTTTTGTTCTTTTCGTGCCAAATATTAGCCGCAATGTTGATGGTTACCAAGCAACGGGACAGGCAAGTTTGGCCGGCAGCATCATAGCCGAAAGCATGCGTGCCTTGTTCTGTTTTTGTATCTAAATAAACAGCAGAAATAAAAACAGGATCAAGGCTGTGAGAATTAATTAATGTTCAACACACACTTGTTTGCTCCATCGATACAAGCACAAACTTAAGTTTACACTTCTACACACTAAAGTTGACAAATAAACACATAATGTGAGACTAAATTATAAGGAATTATATAAAATGATGACAAATGGAGTTTCGGTTTGAGATTATGTTGACAATGTTAGACTGGAGCATGAAAGTTCCTCCTTGACCTTTGGGACCAGTGTATGTCATAAAATAATCTAAGCTCAAAATGGCGGTATGTAAGTGGACAAGTGGACTCATTGCTTACACTTTAAAGGAGCTGTATGTATGTATATGTTTTGAACTTTCAAACTTATTATATTAAATTATCAACAAAATGTGGACAATGAACTGTTCTGACATTATGTCAACGACATATGTATTGTGTTGCAGAGATATCTACTGACGTTAGCATGCTAACCAGCTAGGCCCAGCCCATACTGTCTTGTAATACTACTTTGTACCTCAAGGGGCGATATTGAGTCAATGTCCTCAACATGAGAGGATTCTTGCCTCAAGGGCAATAAACCACGTTCAGCGGCAAAGAAAGAAATGACACAGTTTACAGCTCTTGGCGAGTAAATAGATAAAGTTTGATGCTGAACTTTCTGGTGAGACGTTGCCCCCAATGTGTTTGACGTATGAGTTTGACAGGTGGTCAATTCTTACTTAAAGCTCCTTTAACTGACCTGCTTTCACCTGTTACATGTCAACTGCCACATCAACTGCTTTTATCTCTTACGCTTCAAATGACAATGGCTGTCAATGGTTACTTTTCAGCTGATACTTCCAACCTTTTCACTGCTTCAACTTCAACAATTCAACTCATTCAACAGGAAGTGGGGCAATTATTAAATTCTGTTTACGGGTCTTGGGGAGCACTGTGAAAAAAGTTGTATAAATTATTTTTAAGCCTGCCCCCCACATTAGCCATCTCTGACCAAATTGTCTGCGGTCAATTTGAATTCTGGGTAATGTAGGCACCAGCTTTTGACAAGGGATAAGAATAAATGGAACAAATGTGTGATTCTGCTGCAGCGGTTTTCTATACTTGTTTTTAAAAACTATCCATCATGAGTGCAACAATGTTGTAGAGGTGCAATGCTAAAGTGCAGTACTCTTTAATGTGCTTCAGCATCAACTGTAAATCGTATTTGTCATCTATAAAGTTTTTAAAGCTTCACTGATTGGTTACTGCATCATCCCTTCTACTGTAATGGTACGCACACGCACACACACACATACACCCTTGGGCGTGGTTAGTTTAGCCAGAAGTCAAGACCCTTCTTCCTTCCTGTAAATCTGACTCAGCAGGATTTAATGAAAACAGTGAATCCAAGGCAGCAATCCAACATCAGTAAGGGTAACAAAGCCTGCTGAGATGCCCGTGTCAAACTCATTCACAAAGTCAGTGATGCCGAACAGGAGGGAAAAAACAAGATTTACAATTGTCCCATATCACAAAGTGCCATTGTGTGTTTGTCTGAGTCCAAGAGATCAAATGTTTTCACACTAGGAAGTATAGTTTAAGATAAGGATTTGGTGATGGGTGTGACTGCTAAGGGTTGAAAATGGTCCACCACACTTTTTTATTCCTATCAAAATACATTGGAAATGACTTTGTTTAACGTGATCCTGTGGGGGTTGGGAGGATTTTACACACTTATATCAGATATCAGATATCACAGATATTACTCAACAGAAAGAGGAGTAATACTACAATGGAATGAAAAAATGGGGAATCAGCAGGAATGGGTTTGTGAACACTGAGAAATCATGTTAGTGGGATTTGGATCTGCATGTTTCAGCCTGACCTTGTCGGATCTCCCTCTGAGGGCCAATGGAGCAAGCATGCTGCGTATTAGTCAATAAATCAGAATGCAAGACAAAAATGAGACTGACTTACTCATCTGAGAGTAGCAAAATACTACAGTGTGGTGGAAAAAACTTTTCCCTTGTGAGTGAGATTTAGTGAAAGGGGAGAACAAAAACATCCTGAGTATGTTTTTGTTCAACTTTTTTCATTGTTAACATTCAACAACACCCCCCGCCCAAACCCCCAATTTTTTGATAAAGGAAGCTTCAGGGAGCATGTGCTGGGCTCATATTTGGTTTCATATTTTGCTGTACACCCACACAGCAGCAGCAGCAGCAGCAGCTAGATTTCACAGTGAAAACAGCCACAGCAGCTTGTATTGGCTGATGATTCAGGCCAGACACTTTCACACATAACTACTGTATTTTTAATATAGTATCAGGGCGTGCATTTAGGTATTTGGCACTCGGACATCTACACTAAACTTATTAAAACTGATTATGGATGACAAAAATTAGTAGTGGGGAAATTATTTCATGCATGATTAAAAGCATTATTAGTTCTTTGACGCATAATTGATTTTGAACTTTATCACCTATGGCAGCGGCAGCAAGACAAAGAACTGTGCTTTCTTGTGAGTAAAGTGTTAGTATGCTGATATATTTAACACTCAACACTTGCCAGAGGACTTTGTAATGAGAAACGTCTCCCTATCCCACCGTGCATTCCGTATTGGCGGTCAATCATCGGCTATGTGTGCGTGCCTCACCGTGCTGCTGGTGCCTCCCCGGTCCTCCGCCGTGCGCCTCAGCCATGCGCTGTAGGGCGTGTTGCATCACCTGGCCGGTGGGGCTCGGAGTCTGGGTAGCTCTGTCAGCCGTCACTGGCCTCGGGGAGAGCGGGGAGCTCGGCAGCGAGTCGCCGTCGTAGGAGAAATATCCACTGGATGCGCGGCGAGGGAGGTGGAATATTGTCCTCGTCTGAAACACGCCTAGACTGTCGAGAGGGGTGATAGGTTTTGTGTACAAGGACGGAGAGTCCGGCTCTCCTCCTCCGGAGGAGCTGCGGCGGCCGAAGCTCAGCTCGCCGGCGTTGTCTGAGCGGTGCGTTTGCGCACAGGCACCGGCGGCACCGGCGGGTGGTGGATCTCCTCCGCTTCCCTGTGTTGCCGTTACTTCGGTCGAGCCATCGGACCGGTTTGGTGGTCTGTTGGATGAACAGAGCGGCACCGTCAGCCTGGGCTTTCATCACTCTGGACAAACAGCCTACAGCCTCACGTCTCATGTGGAGCTGAAGCTGGATATGTAGCAGCGCACTGCTGCGTCAGGACTGGAGCTCGCAGATGAAAGATTTTCCTCTAAAACTGCGGGATTTCTGTCATTTAACTCAAATTCATTTCACAGGGAACCGCGGAAACAGGCGCGCCGACGAGCACCGACTTCTTTTTAATAAAAGCGGACGTGCCGACAGTAAACTGCCCAATAGGTTCGTCTCATGACATGTTATATAGCTCACGTCCCACAGAAGCGTTTGTGTAGTGTTAGACTAGCTTATGTGTTCCTGTTCAGACGGCAGCCCAGGTTTTCCTGCCCAAACCGGTCGCCCGGTGCGTCTCCATTGTTAGAAGTTGCTGATTGCAGCGGAACTTTGTTTGACTTGTGGGAAAAAAATAATCAGGCATGAAGGAAACGGCTGGATTAGCTTCAACTGCGTCACATACAAACAGCCATAAAAGAAATCCGTCTCAGCGGACCACAGTCCGTCTGGAAATCTAGCTAGTTTCTTTTTTCATTAAATCAAATCACCAATAACTCCGTTTGATCGGACATTTCTGCTCATCGACAGGTGACGAGGAATACTTTGAATGAAGGTAAAATTGTGCAGATGTAACTTTTTGTTAGGTCGCTTTATATAAAACACACTTATTTGCGCATTGAGAACAAAAATCTTACACTTTGGTCATTTTCCTTTTACTCACCAAAAACTCAGACTCTCTACGGGACATTCTAAAAAAAGCCACTCATCCAGATGATATTTTACTGCAGCGCTTCCTGTTTGTCCAGACTAAACTGCAGCTTCCTAAGCGCACGGGTTCCCAGCGGTAATGACCCACTTCTGCGCCAAAATGAACTAAAATCATGACAAACTTTCTTTTTTTTTTTTAGCACCAATTCATGCACCGACAAACACAACTTGATTTACGCACCTTTGATGTAGACAGCCATCTTTTTGCTTTTTACGCATTTTTTACGCACGGAAAAGCAGCGTTAAAAGCCGCACTTTAACTGGACGCGACACATGTCCTTCGGCCACATGAAAATGCAAACTTTCCCTTTGGGCTTCAGTGCAAATCCAGACGCTGAGACAGAGATAGTGTGCGTGTCAAGCGGCATGTGCACACCAAAGTACCAAAAAGTACCGGCGGCCACCTCGCCGAGAGGGAAAAGCCAGAGGAAGGGAAGAAAAGGAAACCCGCAACACCAGTACAAGAAAACTAACAAACGAGACATTTGATCAGGTGTCACGGTCCTAAATGTCTCTTCAGCAGCATAACATAAGGATGTAGGCTGTACTGTCTGTGTATCCGTGGGCGAAAAACAGAAAATTCTACTCTCACCAGAAAAAAACTGACATTTCAGATTACACGATAAGGTTTCACTTTACTATTTACTAGATAATAAAATATTCGAGCAGCTGTCACATGGACGGCGTGTGCCTCTTGGATTGTGCTTTCTACATTTTGTTTCTTCAAGCCCAGTGGTGCACATGCGCCCCCTGCATATAACTCTGGTTATTGCCTTTTTTTTATGTGACATTATTACAAGTGTTAATAGCAGAAAAGCTGGAGGTGAACTAGCCTGAATGGGTCTTTATAATACAACGTGAATTCATTGCCTGACATGGGGTGGTAAATTAAGTCCACCTCGATCATAACTAGAGCAGTGTCTCATCTATGGACCAACACCAGCTCCTCTAATAGAAGAAAAACATCATATGGTCGCATAAGTGGCAGTATTTAAAAACAGTGCCATTAATGCATGCCCAACACTTCACACGCTCTATTCAGCAAATGAAACGCTGCTGATCCCCTGCATCCCCGGAGACAAAGCCACATACACTGCACACTTGTCATCCAGATACATTACAGCGTTTATCCCGTGTACGCTCAACTGATGGTATAATAAAAGGAACTGAAGCCGGTGCTTTGCGTTGCCAAACATACCGGCTAGCTAAAGTCAACAAACATACACCCTAAAACCCTCTCAATATAATAAAAGAAACATCCACAAAGTTTGGAAAATGCCACTTTAAACTCTGACTGGAGTATTACAGGAATTCTTAATGAGAATAAAGTGCCATAATGTCAGCTCAGTTCGGTTTAAGTCACCTTTTACGCATTTCATAATATAGGAAATAATTACTATGTAAGAGAAAAGCTATTATTACTCTCCTGTATACACTGACATGAAACAGTGACTGGTGGCATGCCGGTGGGCAGAGGGAAGCTGGATTTTTGTAAAGTAATTGTTTAAAAAACACAAAATACACACCTGTGCTCCCTCTATCCCAACTCACCTGGACAGTTGCATGTCAGTGGCGGGACATCACCGCAGGATCAGAAAAAAAACAAAAAAAAAACACGGTGATAAGTTTATGGTAAGTATGTCTAAACAATGTCAATGCTCCAAGTCCAAATAGGATCCACAGGTCCAAAGTAAGAAAAACATTAATTTAAGTAAAAAAATACCAAAAAAATAGTGAAATAAATCCCTGAGTTTTTGCTGAAGTTTCCCCGGGAGGAGAGGGTGAATAATCCGCCTAGTCCGAGTGGAAACTGCGCAGAGGAGGTAAACAAACTCCAGAAACTGCGCTGAGGTTTCCTTCTTCTCTTCCTCTGTCTCTCTAAACACTACATAATGTACTGTACTCTATGCGCTTACACTGATAGAGGCTCTGCACTAAACCCCACCTACCAATGGGTGGGGTTTTCACTCTTGGCTTGTTTCTGTTTCTCTGTCTCCCTCTGTCACATGAAATGTGCAAGTGTCTCTAAATGTGACTGTGTCTACTACTTTCTCTCTGTGTCTCTGGCATACTAATTCTAACCAGATCTGGATCTTATTATTAATTCTCTATTATCAGGATGAAGTTAAATCCTGGACCTGATTTGTTGGTGTTTCCTAACCTAATTTGTTTTCAAAATTACACAAAACTAAAATACTTAAATACAGATTTCCAGTGTTTCCCCTTCTGCACAATCTGAGAAAGCTGAATGAGTATTTGATATTGAGACATTCACAGTTTGGATGAAACTGACGCCTACACTTGTACTATGACTGCTGGCTTGAAAGTAGAACCCAGCATGAGATCCTATTGCAGTTATGAATCATCCTAAGAGCTTTGCTAATGTCGTATTTATGTTTCTGAAGATAGGCTCACATGTGTTTCTGAAGAACAGAAGAAATTCAGTGAACAATATTCTTCCACTAAGGAAATTTGATTATGCTTTAGTTCAATGCAGTGCATTGTGAAACTATTCTATAATATATTGTTTATTTTTGTACTGTAAGTCCACATTTCTGATTGGCTGCCAAGTGTCCAATAAAATCATATGACATGGCACTTCGAGCATAGTTCTGGTTAAAAGTTTAACTTTAATTTAGGCTACTGAACACAAAAGGCCACTGATGCACACACAAATGTCCATTCAGAAATTGTGCATTTGGTTTATGCGAGCAAACAGAACAAAGAAATAACGTCTCTTTCTGCCTCTCTTGCAGCCAAATTCTTACAAAACAAAGAAACTAGCAACTAATACATCTTTTTCAACTAAATTAGCTGAGCACTGACTGCTCACACATGAGCACACAAGCACAAATCCATACAGACAGACAAAAGGGCGAGACAATCAATGTCATTTACATGTGATCAATACGAATCAATTCCTGAGAGTGTGGGAAACTGTTTGTGAATGACTGTAAATATCTGCCTTGGTTAGCTTGTGTTTCCTATTAATGCTTCTCTATTCATCTTTTTCTTTTGCAGTTTAGAGCTCTGTTTAATGTGATGATGATGATGATGATGATTATGATGATTGTGGTGCCGATACTGAAGAAAATGCTAAAGGGATGGCCAGGCTGACCCATAAGTAAAAGGATAGATCTTTGTCTGATTTTGTTGGAGTGTGGTTATACATTATTAGTTATAGCAACAGTAAGACTTTGATAAGGACTCATATAACAGCAGGATGGAGTCCACACTGCATACTGGGTCAAAGAATTACGTTGTACTTTTTTAGCCATGCAGGAAGTGCATCCTCCACTTTGGTCCAGACTGAATTATCTTATCCTGTGTAGAGATATCTATGGTGTCAAGACGATATATGATAAAGACCCCCTAATTTTTTATCTAGCGCTACTGTAAAGTTAAAATTTGTGGTTTTAAAGTAAGACGTTTCAACAACTATTAGATAGAGTGTCCTAAAATTTAGTTCATACATTCATGTCTCCCTCAGGATCACTTGTACTAACTTTGCTGATTCCCTGAGGTTAAAGGTCCAGTGTGTAACATTAAGGAGGATCAATAGGCAGAAATGGAATATAATATTCATAGGTATGAGCTATTTCTATCTACAGACGTCACTGATCACCCTTCATGGAAGCCGCCATTTTGAATCACCATGTTTATACTGTTCCCCTAGAAGGGACAAACCAATCACTGGCTCTATGTAGGGCCATTTGCATTTTACACACTGTACTGTCTCCCCTACATTTGGAGAGGGAGGGTGAAATGAGTGAGTTACAATCTACAACTACACAACTAGATGCCACTAGATCCAACACACTAGTCCTTTAACATGTCAATTTGCCAGTACTTTGGTTTATGACTGTAATCGATTCAATTTTATTTATATATTGCCAAATCATAACAGAAATTATTTTCAGACCCTTTTCACATAGAGTAGGTCTAGATTGTACTCCTCATACTCCTTTTAATATTATTTACAGAGACTCAACAATTCCCAACCATGAATAAGCATTTGTTGACAGATTGAGCAGAACCTGGATGTAGGTGGGAGGCTGTCGGCCTTGACCGGTTGGGTTTAGAGAGTTAAACTAAGGTGGTAACCACAGTAAACATTACACTTGATAGCATTCTAGCATTGTGACTGTGAGCATCTTAGCATTCAGCTCAAAGTACTGCAGGAGCTGCTAGCATTACGTGGTCTCTTGTCTTGCATGATTGATTTCAGTCCATTTAAATCTTTCCCGCTTTATAATGAAGTTTGTGGCTGTTATTGCTCTCCTCTGCAAACAGGAAAATCATTGTTGGAGCCTGACACTGCTGGAACATCGAATCTGAACTGAGTTTTATGGCATCATTCAATAGCCCTGAGGGACTTTAGGGGTAATTACAAAATACTCACGACCGTAGATGCCACTAAAATGCAATAGAGCATAAAGGGCTGTAAATTTCACTGTAATACCAAACCTACAATTGTGTGCAAGCGAACAAACAAACTGACAGCAGTACAGTAAGTCAACTGTGTTATGATGACTAGATAAATTCAGGTGACGAATACTTCCCAATTTGTCCATAAACTCTATCAGAGTTTCTATAGACATAGTGGCCGTCCACTCCCCGAAACTTTAGTTCCTTATTGAGAAACACGAGATGTTAACAGCTACAACCACAGTAGTTGCTGGTAATAAGATTATGTGTAAAATATAGATGTACAGTATGTTAAACCTCTATCATCAGCATTCCTGTGCCGCCTCGGGAGAGGCTTCATTACAGCATATTGACCGAGTTGTGAAAGTCAGTAAAGCGTTAAAAATGTGTGAGTCAGGCTGCTGAACACAGTGTTTACTGTGACTGAGTGTGAAACAACTTGTTCACAATGGCCGACACATTCTACATGTAATGAGAGGGTAAAACAGTAAACTGTAGTAAAAGTTCTGGTATTGCTCTTAGGAAAGCTAGTGGTTTTTACTATAAAAGTAAAAGGTAGGTCAGAATGTATAATAAGTTACAAATTTGAATCCTGAAAGGATAAAAATATACACATATTGCAAACTGTATTGTTTTGGTGATTAAGAGATCAGCAAGTTCCCGCATCAGCCCTACATAAATATACCTTCCACCACTTACAGCACCTTACACCACAGTGATAAAAACACGAAAAACAACACACACACACACACACACACACACACACACAATATTAAAGACCATAAAACCATGGTGCATGCTTGACAGTCAACAAATACACAGCCTTCCCCTGCTTTTAAACTTAGTTTGGAAAAAAACAACATTTATTTCCAGGGTTCCATGTTGCACTCTCCACCTAAACCCTGCCATACTCTGCCCTGCAGATGCTGCATCATTATTCCTCTTAATGCTGTCCTGCTCCTGTCTAGATGTTCACTAGAGCTGTATAGAGAACCTTCCCCTTTACCTCCTCAAAGTTCCCCAGGAAAAGGAAAGCTGATTAGAATAATCACTCGTATAAACCAGTTTAAATGCCTCTTTACTGCCACCTACATCCTAATCCATGACAATTGAGCAACCAAAACCAAAGCCTGTGAGATGCTTCTGAAATCAAAAAAAGAATAATATATGGACCTTGAATTAAGTTTGTTTTCTCAAATATAAATATTGGAGCTGAAATGATTAGTTGATTAAGTAGTAGATCCATATTGATTACTGGCCACTATTTTGTTATAATGAATGAAATGTGAATATTCTCTGGCTTTGGTATCGAAAGCCAGATACCAAAGCCAGAATTATTGAATATAGAATATATTTTTGACAGTTGTTTGCTGCAATTTAAAGACTTTACTTTGGGTTGAAAATGACTCCTAATTTCCTGAATATGTATGTTTATAAAAAATATATAAAAAACAAACAATGACAACAATAATTGAAACACTGATTCACATTTAATTTCAAAAGTGTGTGTGTGTGTGTGTGTGTGTGTGTGTGTGCGTGTGCATGTTTAACAGATATTTACTGCTGGTCATTGAGCTAATGGAAAGTCAATCGGTTCCCATGCAGTGAACCATGACCCCTCCCCCCTTCTCCCCCATAAGACAATACCGACCACCTGGACCAGTAGGGAGAGAGAGAGAGAGAGTGTGTGTGTGTGTGTGTGTCCATAATAATATTGACTAGCTGTAATGTGAGAGGTCAGGACACAATAGCACTGTGACTCTGAAGACCTAACACCATGCTGTGAGAGATCACAGCTATGTGTCACACAGAAAAGCACACACACACACACATGCTTTGACTTCTATATCACTTTTCCATTTTATGTCAGCCCGACTCTGCTCACACTGCAGCTGAGGGTATTCTCTTCACATGACTCAGTTTCTTTTTCTTGGGTTCTAATCTGCATGGACATGTACACCCATTGCTCCCATTTTTCATGGTTTTAAGATGGGTTTGTGCTGACTTTCATAAAGGCTGCAATTGATTGTAACCAAGACATCACATGCAAGCTTGAATGGGTCACAAATTAAATACTTGAAATAATACTAGGGGTAGAACGGTTCACAAAATTCACAGTTTCG